TCATGATGGACGTGAGTGTAAACTTAGCGCATGCCTTTTCATATTGTAAATACCCTCTTGTTTCTTTTATCTAAGTGTTAGAGAGCTATCCAACATTCTCCTTTTGACATGATTGAATGTGTTGAGCGTATGTTGCAATTGTTTGTGCCGTGTATTTATAAACCGTTAGTATGTTGTTCGTGTGACCCGTTCCAGAGCTTCTTGTGGCATTTTGGAAGACAGCAGGACGTGAAAACCAACTGGGGTAATCCCTACAAGGTCATGTACTCTGATGTACTTCATGTCATCCTCATTGGGATCTGGGTGTACATTTTGGAGGCTCTAGTATGGCATAACAAGTACATAAAGACCATGAATGAGTGAGTGTTGCTGAATTGCTGCTCCGTTTATCACCATATATTCATGTTACACCCCTCTCAAACTTTTTGTGTGCGATAACGTTACAGGAGACACAGGGACCTTTACAGAGAAGCTAGAGCGGCAGGCATTCCACTTCCACCTCCAGGACGGTACTTCAGTCTTGGTGCCAACTTTTCAGCAGCCGATCATGCTGCCATGCTGCGAGTAAGTAGTTTAACGTTTGACATGTTGACAACTAGTACATGGCTTGGTACAACGATGATTCTCCACACAACGTTTGCCCTGCCCCCTGGCGATGACTTTGAGGCTCATTACGCCCGTGCTGCTCTGACCTACCATGATGCACCTTGCTTCTCATACGTGGCCATCCTCGGGAAGGAAGATGGTCACATGGGCGCCCGCATCCTCACGACGTGGTATGCACAGCTTCTACTACTCTTCTATGTGGACATTGTGCAGGACGGACGAGTCGTGAAGAAACCATTTCCTTACGTGCGGTATTATGACGTTGGTGACGTTGACGGTTTGACGTCATGCACTCTGTTGCGTGAGGCGCAACGGGAGGTGAAGTTTCAAGTGGTAGAGGCACAGTCTATCATTCGCACGCTACATATTGTCCGTTCCTTTGATCGTCGGTCCTTGTCGTTCATCAATAGGTTTGGTGCTGTCTAGAAAGACTTTGTACTACTATTAACGCTCTGCTTTATACGACTAGTGGACCAACTACCTATACGAATGTGCAATTGTTATACAGACGCGTTCCATAATAATGCACTGTGACGACAATGCAAATGAGTACAAACATGTAGCTTTTATACTGTACAATGTATCACCATCATGTTGCGTTTGACTAAAGATGTCAAACTTACAGCACTTAGGGAACACTCATGAAGCGACACAATTGTTGAAACATTTTTAAGTAATCCATATACAACAGAGACTGTAGTGTGGGGTGCGCGGCTGCGAGTTCCCTCTTATTTCGGTGCAGTTAGGGTGTGGGAGTGCGCCATGTGCAAAGAAACCGCCAAAACATCCCCTCTGACCGGTTCCACCCCGACCACCACCACTGGCACCGCCACCACTCCCACTGTCGCCACCGCCGCCGCAACCACTCCCACCGCTACCACCACCGCCACCACCGACGCCCCCACTCCCACCACCACTCCCACCACCGAAAGCGAGCGAGGGAGCAAGGGGGGGGGGAACACGTCTCAAAGAAGGGAGTGGGAGGAGTGCCACGAGCAGTACCTACAGCAACTATGCTAGCCTAAGCTGCAAGGAGGTGTTCATCGTGCAGGTCGAAAACGAGGCCTGTGGGGTCAAGGGCTTGAAAGTGGTCCCGGATGTTGGTGCAACCCTACGGTTTGCACTCGGCTTGTTGTCCGTGTGCGTGCATGTGTGTGTGTATGGAATGGTATGAGGGCATGGGATAATATATATTTCATGCTTATAATTGTGTGTGAATGTTGAGTCATGATGTCGAGTGTGTGTGTCGAGTCAATAGCAAGATATCGCTAGACGCGTGTTACGCGGTCGTTTGTGTCTCGCGCGCCGTTTCTATTTTGTCCTGTGTCAAACGTTCGGCGTGTCGCAGGTGTGTGCAGAAGACTCATCAAGAACTCAAGGATGAGTTTGTGATGAAGAGCCCGAGCCTTGGTGTCAAGCCTCAAGTGATTTCGAAGCTCGCCAAAAGGGTGCACCTCAAGATATTGAAGATAGTTACATTACTTTGTGTAGTGTAACATTTCACTTGGTGTAGGCCCTAGTGAAAGGTAGTTTCGAGACCCTTTGTGGTTGGGGACAGTGTGGCACTGTTCCACATCACTGTACCTCGGCTCTTGGGGTTTGTAGGAGCTGGGAGTCATTCCCAACTCGTAACTCTTCCTAACTCTTCCTATCTTGTTTTCTAAGACTATGTGGCTGCCATAGTGCCGTTCGTTCAAACCAACGCTGTGTCGTCACTACTTGGTCAAATCGTGCGATCTAAATTGCCAATTGTAGGCGACAATAAGACGCTCCAGATCCAAGTTGAATCAAGTCATTTGAAGCTCTGACCAGAACGATATGTTTGTTTGAAGCCGCTGTGCAGAAATCCGACTGTGCACTCTATCTTTCGTTTTAGGCACATTGGAGCCTACTGTGACTATAACAAGTGGTATCAGGGCCCCTTGGAGCAGTTTCGACAATGGCTGGACATGAGGAAAGGGGTGGCAGAGGTGCTGGTGGTAGAGGAGAAGCCCAAGCTCAAGGCCAACCCCGTGACTCAGCCATGGCGCCCGTGCAACCAAGTGTTGGCCCATCTAGGGATGAGCCAAGAGTGTTTGGCTTTGACAAGTTCAAGGGTGACAACTTTGCTGGGTGGTCCTTTAGAATGGAGAACATATTTGACCACTATGACCTGCTGGAGGTAATGGAAGGTACGGAGAAGCGTCCCGAGAACGACCCGGAGAAGAGCTCGTGGGTGCGGAAGAGCGCACAAGGCTACCTCCTACTTGGGCAAGCGTTGGGGAGCAGTCAAATCCGTCACATCAAGCCTTTCCAGCGTGAACTAGAGAAAGGACCAAAGGCATGGGCTGCTCTCAAGGGTGTACACGCTCCTGCAACAGCGGCGGTAGCTGTGGTGTTGGAACGGCAAATGGCGACGTTACGAATTGAAGAGGATGAAGCGGTTGAAGAAGGGGTGCAGAAACTCTTCGATTTGTTGACGCGGCTTGAGGGAGCGGAATTGAACTATAGTGAGCTCCAAAAGAAGACCAAGTTCCTGGCCCTACTCCCTGAATCATGGTCCTCGCTCATCATCAACCTGAATTGCGACTTGCCCCGCCTCTCGCTCGAAGATGTGAAGCGAGCTATCCTTCAAGAGGATTTCCGCCGCCGTGAGTTGGCGAGTGCGGATGGCGCTGGGGCAGCAAGCATCGGCCGTGGATATGATCGAGGAAGAGGCAGAGGACGAGGGGGAGGAAGGTTTGGTGGCAGTAACTTTGGCGGAGGCCGCGGGAAAGGCAGTTACGGCAGCGACGACAAGAGCTACGGACGCGGTCGCGGCCGATTCGACGGCGAGTGTCAATATTGCCACAAGAGCGGACACATGTGGCGCGACTGCTACAAACTCCCTGATGGTTGGACCCCTGCTCAAGGCCAAGAGGGTAGAGGAGCAGGAGGAGGGAGAGGACGAGGCTGTAGAGGCCGTGGCGGTCGCGGTGGCGGAGCTGCAAACATGAAGAACGGAGACAACGACAAGGACCCGAGCGACGATCGATACCCGGGTCTATTCTACTTCGTGTCGACGCAAGTACCGGCTGGTCCAGAGAAGGATGAAGGCTTTGAGGAGCCAGCAGCTGTGGGGAAGGTGACCCTACACCCCCTGGACTATTGGGTGATTGATAGTGGCGCTACCTATAGCATGACACCTCGCCCAGACTTGCTCACCGAACTCGAGCCGTCACCGGTGAAGCATGTCACATCGGCTTTGGGGCAGCGAGCAGAGGTGAAAGGCATGGGAAAGGCCATGTTCAAGGGTGCTGATGGGAAGATGGTGGGCCTCAAGAACGTGCTTTGGGTGCCCAGCCTTGCTGCAAACCTGATTTCCATGCGGCGGTTGGCAAAGGCCGGCATGGACACTAACCCGAAGGGAGCCAAGACCTACACCGCAAGGCTTGGTGATCGGATTCTTTGGGACCTTCATGAGGACAGAGATGTCTACAACGAGATGTGGCAGATCCCTGTGATCCCAATGCCTAAGGAGAGGCAAGTGGCAGCAAGCGTCAGCATTAAAGGTGGAGCGGTTGGTAGCGGCGATTGCGCGGACGGTCGCGCTAAGGAGAAGGAGTCCAAGAAGTGCAATCTTGGAGGGACCAGCAAGCTTGGTGAACCTATGGAGAGAGGTGCAGCAGCCAAGGAGCAGCAAAGGGTGAGAAGAACCCCGAGGCAGCTGCGGAGGAGGACTACGGAGAGAGTATGTGGGGCGCTATTGCGAGCGCGGCATTCTCCAATCCAACTTCGGCTACGGGGGAGTGTGATTGGCTCACCTTGCATCGGCGCATGGGGCATTTGGCCCTGCCCATCTTGCAGCAGCTAGTGAAGAATGAGATGGTTGCTGGCATACGTGTGAAGGGGGAGCCCAATGAGGTACTTAGCTGCCCGACGAACATGCAAGCCAAGTTCACCCGATTCCCGTTCTCTAGTTCGGAGGCGACGGCTAAGGCACCGCTTGATGAGGTGGTGATGGACGTGGTGGGCCCTTTGAAGCTTGGAGCTGCTGGAGCTGAAATTTTTCTCACCATTGTCGACGTCTACACCCGCATGACTTGGGTGTATGTGCTGGCCAAGAAGAGTGACGTGGCTGAAACGTTGAAGACGGATTGGTTCCCGATGGTGGAGCGGCAACAAGATCGTCTAGTCAAGTCAATCCGCACCGATCGAGGGGGAGAGTTTGTGAGCAAGGAGTTTTGGTTGTGGCTGAAGAAGAATGGTATTCGGCACTCCCTCACCATGCCATACTCCCCTGCAATGAACGGCATCGCCGAGCGAGCGAACCGCACAATCACGGAGGCGGCACGCGGGTTGCTCATTGAAGCCGAGTTTGCTGCGGCTCTTCAGCACCCTTACTACTGCACACGCTAGGGTGTACAGGCTCGACCCTAGCAGACGATTGAACGTGGCCAAGTGTCGTCCTGTCCGAGCACACATGCAGTGGGTCACTCGCTGACTCGCAGGAGTGAACTGGTCAACCCCTCGATCCTGTAGGTCTGCTCTACTCACCAAGTTCGTAGAGAACGAGGGGAGGTACAGACCAGACAGGGTGCCAGAGGGGGCTGCAAGGCACGGAAGGACAGTGGAGAAGCTAGCAAGGACAGGACCCCCAGAGGGGTCCGCCAGGGAGACCTCAACCGGCCGACTAAGCGGCGTAAGAGTGGTGCGGTCTCGAAAGAAAGAGCGGGACGCACCCGAGTCTTTGGTGAAGGTGTGGAGGGCCTGAGCCGAAGCAGTACCTAAGAGAGCAGACTCACCAGCACTTGGGGCTGCAGACGCACTTGCACCAAGAGCAGCAGTCTCACCAGCACCTAGCATGCGAACTATGTTGTAGCAGTCTTTTGCTGTCCAAAGTGCGCGCATTAGGCGAATGGCAGGTGGTTGCGAACGGATTGTCGGCCAATAGCGTCACTGGTAAGCCACTGTGAGCGAGTCGGACTGTGAGCTATCTCGAAAGGAGCGAGAGAGGCCCAAGACGTGTGGTCGGACAAGCAGACGCCGTGCCACCGCCACCTCCGCCGCCTCCTCCACCTCCGCCTCCTCCACTACCTCCGCCGCCTCCGCTCTCTCCGCCACCTCCACCGCCTCCGCCACCTCCACTGCCGCCGCCGCCGCCACCACCCCCGGCACCACTCCCACCACCACCCCCACTCCCTCCAACGCCTCCACCACCACCTCCACCGCCCCCTCCACCCCCTCTAGAGCCCTTGCCCCCCTTGCCCTTGCCGGTGCAGCGTCTCCCAATCGGGGCAGACGCAGCGCCGACCGACTCGAAACCAACGAGGTCGGCCGCAGCAGTAGAGGCAACAGAGGGCAAGAGGGGGGAGGGAGAACACCCCTCAAAGACGGGGGTGCGAGGGTCACCACGAGAGGCTCCTACAGCGACTATGCTCTTCTCTATCGCTAGGAGGGCCTTCTCGAGGAGGTCAACGGTGAGAGTGGTGGGGCAAACTGAGAGGAAGTGGTCCCTGACTACGCGAAGAGAGTCCGGGAGCCGGGTGACTATGTAGTAGAGGGTGATGTACATGGGGGGGGGGGGGGTTCTTGGCGCAGAACTCATCACGAAGCGCAGCGCGGTAGCGAGTGTCAAGAGTGCGGAGGTGCGTAATGAGGTCAGCGACTGTGGGAAAGGCAGCAAGGTCAGGGAAGAGGAACGGTAGCATGAGGCGGCTCAGTGCAGCTGTGGCAGGGGAAGAGTAGCGTGCAACTACAACGTCGTACAAGGTCTGAGCATTCTTGTACTGGCTAAAGTGTGCATGCTTAGTGGTCGGTAAGTGGCGGCGAACAGCAAGGCGAGCAGCAGCATCACGTGTGGCCCACTGTGAGCAAACAGTGGCGTCAGCATCAGCAGCAGGGGCAGGGGAGGCACCTGAATTGAGGTCAAACAGGGAGAGGCCGTCTGCCCTATCGCACTGCAGAAAATGCTGCAGATCATCTACCCAGACCTCAAAGTCCACAGCCTGACCCTCAGCGTCAAAGGTGAGAACGCTAGGGGAAGCCATAACAGTAGTAGGCAGGCAGGGAGTGCAGTGAGGCAGGGCACTGCAGTGGCAGAGACTAGGCTCTTACCATGCAGGTGGGGCGATGGGGCTGCTCGGCAGCTCAGCTGCAGGGCGGCTCGACTGCACGGTGCTGGGCGGCTCGGCTGCTGGGTGGCTCGGCTGCACGGTGCTGGGCGGCTCGACTGCTGGGCGGATCGGCTGCACGGTGCTGGGCGGCTCGGCTGTCGGGCAGCTCAGCTGTCGGGCGGCTCGGCTGTCGGGCGGCTCAGCTGCCTGGCGGCTCGGTTGTCGGGCGGCTCGGCTGTTGGGCGGCTCGGCTGCCTGGCGGCTCGGTTGCTGGATGAATCGGCCGCGGTGGCGACGGGACGGGGCCGTAGCAGGGGCCTTAGTGGGGCCGCAGTGGGGCCGAAATGGGGCCAAAGTGGGGCCGACGGGGCCTTAGCGGGGCCGTAGCGGGGCCGACGGGGCTGTAGCGGGGCCGCAACGGGGCCAAAGTGGGGGCCGACGGGGCCTAAGCGGGGCTGCAACAAGGCCGAGGGGGCCTAAGCGGGGCCAATCGGGGCCGTAGCGGGGCCTAAGCGGGGCTGTAGCGGGGCCGACGGGGCCTAAGCGGGGCCGACGGTGGGCTAAGCGGGGCCAACGGGGCCGTAGCGGGGCTGTAGCGGGGCCGCAATGGGGCCGAAGTGGGGCCAATGGGGCCTAATCGGTGCTGTAGCAGGGCCGACGGGGCCTAAGCAGGGCCGACGGAGGGCTAAGCAGGGCCGATGGGGCCGAAGTGGGGCTGTAGCGGGGCCGCAACGGGGCAGAAGTGGGGCCGACGGGGCCTAAGCGGGGCCGCAACGAGGCCGACGGGGCCTAAGCGGGGCCGCAACGAGGCCGACGGGGCCTAAACGGGGCCAGTCGGGGCCGTAGCGGGGGATAAGCGGGGCTGTAGCGGGGCCGACGGGGCCTAAGCGGGGCCGGCGGTGGGCTAAGCGGGGCTGACGCGGCCGAAGTAGGGGCCGACAGGGCCTAACTGGGGCCGCAACGAGGCCGTAGCGAGGCCTAAGCGGGGCCGACAGGGCCTAAGCAGGGCCAAAGCGGGGCCAACGGGGCCGTAGTGGGGCCGACGGTGGGCGGCTCAAGGAGCAGTAAGGGCGGCCAAAAGGAGGCCACTAAGGCGACTCGGAGCTAAGTGCGCTCCAGGCAGGAAAGGAAAAAAAAAAAATACGTGGTGGGCCCTAGGCAGTATTCCCACTCGGGAACCTGCTCGATACCATGACGAGAAGACAGGCACAAGGCCCACCTGAGTGCAGAAGCGCTGATGATCACAAGGCGGAAGAGCCTTGGTGAAAACATCAGCAGTGTTGCCTTCAGAGGCCACGTACGCAAGTCGCAACTGACCACGCTGCTGCAGCTCACGAGCAAGAAAGTAGCGGAGAGCAATATGCTTCGTTCTGTGCTCCAGGCGCTGCTCTCGACACAAGGCCAGCATGGCCTTGTTTTCTACGTACAGCACTGGAGGAGAACGAGGCGGCTCTCCGAGGTCAGTCAGCAGGTAGGTGAGCCAGCGTAGCTCCTGTGCAGCCATGGCTCCGGCGTAGATCTCAGCCTCACAACTGGAGCCGAGAACAGAAGACGAGCGAGTAGCCCGCCACGAAACAGAGCCGAAACCAAGACTGAAGGTGTAGCCCTGTGACGACCGCTGCGTAGCCTGGTCGTCAGCCCAAGAAGCGTCCGCGTGGCCAGTGAGGACCACAGGACTCCGCCCTCCAAGCACTAGCCCCATGCCCGACGTACTACACAAGTAGCGCAACACCCTCTTCGCTGCAGCCATGTGCTCTGGTCTGTGTCTCCCAGCAGCATAGCATGCAAGAATGCTAAGAGGGTATGTCAGGTCACGTCGTGTGCAGGTCATTCGGTACATGAGGCAGCCAACAAGCTCTGGGTACGGGCCACTCGACTCTACGGACTCATCCGAAGGCAGAGCTGAAAGCGAGTGGCGAGTAGACAGAGGAGTGGCCTGAGGCGAGGAGTGCGTGAAGCCGAAGCGGTGAAGGACCTGCTGCACCATGTGTGACTGAGTCAAGGTAATGGTGCGGCGTGCTCTGTCACGGGTGATCTGCAAGCCAAGGTAGCAACGCAGTTCACCCAGGTCTGTGCACGTGTGTCTCTTCTGCAGCTCGGACTTCACGTGGGCGAGTCCAACAGTGTCAGCTGTGGCAAAGACCAAGTCGTTGACGTACACGAGGATGTAGAACGGCGGCAGAGAGGTGTTGGTGCGCAGAAACAACGACGGGTCAGCAGTAGAGGGAGCAAACCCAAGAGCCGCAAGCATAGTCCTCAGTGTGTCGTGCCACTCGCGCGATGCCTGGCGGAGACCGTAGACTGGCCGTCGGAGGCTCCACTGGGTGCTATGAGGGAAAGTCCCAGTAAAGCCAGGTGGGCGGCGCAGCCAGATCTCCTCGTGCAGGCTACCCTACAGGAAAGCAGTGCTGAAGTTAAGGGAGTGAAGCTCGTAGTCACGTTGCGCGGCTATGTGCAGCAGCACCTGAAGAGTGGTCATCTTCGGGGTGGGAGAGAAGGTCTGAAAGTAGTTAACTCCCTGCCGTAGGCTGAAGCCACGAGCCACGTAGCGCGCCTTGAAGACAGGTGGAGAGCCCGGCGGCCGCTTCACCCTGAAGATCCACATGCCACTGACAATATTCGCCCCAAGAGGGGGAACCGTGTCAACGTAGGTGCCTATGGACTTCAAGGTCGCCATCTCTGCATCCATAGCTGCCTGCCACTGAGAGGAGTAGGGACCCTCTACGGCCTCCGCGTAAGAGCGCGGAGTCGGGATGTCTAGTGCATCCGGGTCTCCCTCAGGGGCAAGTAGTACAGACGCGAGATGAGGTGAAGCAGCAGCCAGACACTGGAACTCCTCTTGCCTGTCCTCAAGGACGTCCGTGCCAAGAGCACACTCACCCTCGAAGGACGGAGGACACACAGACGCAGACTCAGCAACAAGACTGGCAGCGTAGTCTAGACGACAGCGCGCAGCAAAGTCGATGAGCTCAGCAACAAGCGCAGACGCAGCAGTGGACTCAAAAGAAGGGTCAGTGACGACAGTAGCAAGGAGACGCGTGACAGTAGGACTGGTAGCACGAAGAGAGTCCGACTCGGGGTTGGCAAGCGCAGGAAGAGAGGACTCAGGAGGAGAAGGCAAAGGGGCACGCAGAGGAGCAGTGGACGGACGCAGAGACATCCGGTGCGTGCAAGGAACAGGAGGAGGACGCTGACGCGAATCGCGACCACTAGCGCGAGCAGCACGAACAGGCGACACAGGACGAGACGCAGGCTCACGACGCTCAGCAAGACCCCCAGTAGGACCAGTGTAGGGAGAAGGAGCAGGTAGAGGGGAGGCCGGCGGTAACTGTGACTGTCACTGGACAGGTGGTGGACACTCTAAGGGAGGAGGAAGACCAAGAACCAGCTGAAGGAGCGGAACGAAGTACGGCCGAGGCCGCGCGGCGACTCCAGACACAGCAGGGACAGCACCAGCACCCTCAGCGGCAACACCAGCGCCACCAGCACCAGCAGCACCCATAGCAGAACCGCCAACAGGACCAACAGCAGTAGCCTCCGCGCCACCACCCTCCACAGGACTAGCACCAGTCGTACCCGCAGGTACAGCGGCTCTAGCACCCTCAGCAACCAAAGAAACTCCAGCTCCAGCGGTACGCCTCCAGCGCCGAGCAAACCACTCGCGCAGCTCCAGTGGAGAGAGTGGCTCCCGCCGAGATGAAGCACCAGGAGAACCACCAGGCCCAGCACCGCCAGACAGCACACTAGCAGGTCCAGCGGCAGCGGGCTCCGCACCCCCAGGCAAAGGAGCTCCAGACTCACCACCCCCAGGCTCAGCAGCTCCAGACGCAGCACCACCCGACGAAGCAGCTCCAGACGCAGCACCCCCAGGCGAAGCAACTCCAGACTCAGCTCCTCCAGGCTCAGCAGCTCCAGACACAGGACTCCCAAGCTCAGCACCCCCAGGCGTAGCACCCACAGGCTCAGCTCCCCAAGTCGCAGCACCCCCAGACCCAGCACCCCCAGGCGCAGCACCCGCAGCAGTACCAGAGTCACCAGCAACCTCGACCAGCTCGACCGCGTCTACCTGGGACACACCTGAAGGGGCAGGACCCTGGGGAGGTAGGGGGTCTAGTGGGGGGGAACTGGTACCACGAAGTGCGGAGGCGGGGGGAGGGACGGAGTGCGGTAGGGGAAGAGGCGGTAGAAGGGAATGGACTCGTCGAACGTGACGTCCTGGGAGTACAGAACACGCCGAGAGGCGGGGTGGTAGAACTGCCACCCTGGTGCGTCAGGGGGGAAGCCAAGGAAGACACAGGGAGCAGCACGAGGGGACAGCTTGTCCGCAGACAAGTCGCAGACAAACGCCCGAGATCCCCAGACACGGAACGCAGACGCATCGCCAACCTTCCCCGTCCACAGCAAGGCTGGGGAGGTCTCCGGCCGGGAGACCGTGGGGTGAAGGTTGAGCTGATGCGCCGCGTACCGAACCGCAAACGGCCACAAAAAATGGAGGGCAGCCGCATGCATCATGGACATACGAGCGACGTCCATGACCATGCCAATGCGGCGCTCAGCAATCCCATTTTGCTGCTGAGAGTCTAGAAGCGTAAAGGTCTGGCGGATGCCTCGTGCACGATAGTAGGCTCGCAGAAGGCCAGAGGAGGGAGAGATTGAGGAAGACCAGAGACAAGGACACGGGAAGCCATGCCCCGAAGCCGAGGCAAGGAAGGGTGGCCAGACAGTGGTGCCACAGGAGAGTCTCGTGAGACAGGAGGCGACACGAGCAGGGGGTAGACTCAGGACCAGACCGGGACGCAGCAGCAAACACCTGACCCAACGCAGCTAACTGGCCAGACGCAGGGACGGGAGGAGACTCAGTGGTCAGGGTGTAGAGGCTCGACCCCGGCCGACGCGAGAACGTGGCTAGGTGTCGGCCTGTGCGTGCGTACGTG